CAAATTGATAAATATTATTCACCAATACAAACTTCTGAAATAAACCTCATAAAGTTAAAAAGGAATATGTTCTTGGTAAATAATTACACTTGATAGCACTGAGCCAATGGGGAATTGGCTTTCAGCAAATTGTCACTGATGTAGCCTGTTTTTTACCCTCAAATTGTTATTGGGAGGATCAAATGAGCCATCTACGACCCCAGATGCTATTTTATCTAGTAGCCGGGAACCATCTAAATTCTTTGCCAAATTTTCCTATATATATATCACCTGTGTCTTTTGTTTTCCCTCCTGAGGGTGAGTATCAAGCAGGGCCAGCCATGATGTAAGAACTAATTGTTACTAAATTGAAGCTAGGATTTAGTGTGAACCCAAAACCCATTCCTGGATCTATGCTTCTCTCTCTCTCTTTCTCTCTCTTAATTTGTTGTAACTTGGGGGTTAAAACCTATGCCATATCATTCCATAGTTCAATCACATCAAACAATTATACATTTGCTTCCATAATCAGTCTCCAAACATACTTTTCCTTCCTGGACTCCTTGACTTCATCTCCCTTTGACATCATCTCCCTTTCATCTCCCCCACCCTTCTATATCCACCCTTTCCCCACAAACCCTGTTTCTATTGCTTTCCCTATAGGTCCAGTGTCCCCAGGTTTCATTTACAGAATAACAGAGAAACAAATAACACAACTTAAAGAGGGTGACCCCTAGTGATGATGCACCTCTGAGATACACCGTAATATGAACAAGCGTAAGCAACATATAACAATGATCTTCACAGAATTGCTGGAATAATACGTATCTTAATACAGCATATTGATGTAGCAAAGCCTTGTTTGTCCACCAGCCAACAGTGTACAACTCTTGGTATAGCTGTCTTCTGCTTCTTCAGACACCATGTATTTTCCAGCTTAAGTCCTCAGGTTACAAGTGCATCTGAGATAGAATTCAGTTCATCCAATGGAGTTCCCACATGGGATCTCACAGATGCAGCCTCTGGGACATACCTTGCCCCCCGAAGTTCCAGGATTCAGTGTCCCAGCATTCCATGGCACTCAGTCTGGTTTCCCAGGTTACCTCCATCTGCCCTAGTTCAATTTTGCCCACCTGCTTAACACCATTAAAGATGCTCCCCACCTAATGTTCCCTTTCCCCTACTTCTAATGAAAGCGCCTTGGCTACTAACCTAAAGGTTGGTGATTCAAACACAACAGGTACTCTATAGGAGAAGGAGTGACAGTTTGCTTTTATAAAAATTACAGCATAGGGTCGTTTTACAAAGATGGCTCTAAAGGCAAAGAAGGAAGTCCCTGACCCTCCCAAAATGGAAGCCAAAGTAAAGGCATTATAGGGCAAGAAGGCTGTACTAAAAGATATCCATAGCGACAAAAAACAAAAGCATATCTACCCATCACCTACTTTCCAGTGGCCCAAGACCCTGAAGCTAAGAAGGCAGCCTAAATGCCCTCCAGGAGAAACACGCTGACCAGTATGCCATCAACAAGTTCCCCCTGATCACAGAGTCCACCAGGAAGAAGACCACAGATAACACACTTGTGTTCATTGTGGATGTCAAGGCCAACAAGCACCAGATCAAACAGGCTGTGAAGAAGCTGTATGACATTGACGTAACCAAGGTCAACATCTTGATCCGGTCTGACAGTGAGAAGAAGGCATACATAAGAAGGTGCCCCCAAAAATTGCACTGGGCAGGGAGGAGCTTTCACAGTATGCATGTAGCCTGCTAGGTGAGCATCCAGCAACTCGCTCTGAGTTTGTGCACTCTCTGGTCACAATGAATTTAAGAAAGGCAGTTTCACTCAAACCTTGTTTTTTACGATGGCCAATTTAAGAGAACAGTATGTGGCTTTGAAATTTTGTTTCCTGCTTGGGAAAAATGCTGCAGAAACTGTTGTGATGTTGAACACAGCTTGCAAGGATAGCACTATGGGAAAACCTCAAGTGTGCAAGTGGTTTTTTTGTTTCAAAAGAAATGAAATGTCAATCAATGACAAACCTCCTTCTGGACATCCATCAACTTTCCAAACAGACAAAAATGTCAACTTGTAGTACATTTGGAGTTCATTCCACCAGGTCAGACTGTTAATCAAGCTTTCTATTTAGAAGTTCTGAAAAGATTGTGTAACAGTGTTCGGCAAAAAAGGCCTGATTTGTGGCAGACGGGGGACTGGTTTTGCCCACCAACGACAATGCACCTGCTCACGCAGCCATCTCAGTGTGCCAATTGTTGGCAAAAAACAGCATGCCTCTCTTGTCCCACGCACCTTCTTCACCTGACTTCGCTCCTTGCAACTCTTTTTGTTTCCACGAATGCAGAGGGACACCAAAGAACAGCAATTTGACAACATAGAAGAGGTGAAGAACAAAACGAGTGAGCTGCTGTCAGCCATCCAAACAGATGACTTTGAAAAATGTTTCCAAGAATGTAATCACAGATTTAACAAATGTATTCAGGGAAGGGAAAATAACTTGGAAAGGGAAAATGGTTTTGTGAAAAAAAATTAAATACATGTCTTTGAGGGGAAAATTCTGTGTTTGTTTTTTATGGGGGAGGGGGGGTACCACCTCATATTCCACTGACTCCTGTGAGGCTTTAGATCAGAAGTTCTCAACCTGTGGGTCGTGACCCCTTTTGGGGATCAAACGACTCTTTCACAGGGGTCGCCTAAGACCATCGGAAGACAACATATTTTTTATGGTATTATGACTGAGACACCACTCCTCTGTCTCCAGACGGGTCTGCCCACATATGAGTACCTGGCATGAAGACTGCTAACCATGCTGCACCATGCTTCAAGACAAAATTTCATTTATTTGTAATTAGAAATATTTTACAATATAGAATTGCATATTGTTTTTGTGATTAATCACTATGCTTTAATTATGTTCAGTTTGTAACAATGAAAATATATCCTGCATATCAGATATTTACATTACAATTCATAACAGTAGCAAAATTAGTTATAAAGTAGCAATGAAAATAATTTTATAGTTGGGGCTCACCACAACATGAGGAACTGTATTAAAGGGTCACGGTATTCGGAAGGTTGAGAGCCACTGCTTTAGATGTTGGCAACAAAATTGGGATCATCTAAACTGAATCCAACAGGTTAATGCTAAATATGAACTTTTTCAATACATAAAAAAAATGACAGCATAGAAAACCACATAGTGGTTCTCAACCTTCCTAATGCTGTGACCCTTTAATA